CTCTGGCTGACCTTGAGATGCTGAGCAATGACCTCTGTGGAAAGCAGCGGGGAGGTCGCACACCCGAGTAGCTTTTCCTTAGTGCTGCACTTCATCGCCTTTGTTAGTGCTGAACCTGGGGCTTGGAGACCATCCGCCTCAACCTGGAACATAGAGAAACGTGGTGCTTTCACAGTGCAGAGCTGATCCCTCATCCTCTTGTGGGCATTTCCCAACCACCTGCTCCTTCCCTCTCTGCTGGGGCTTCTTCTTAACTGGAACAAATTCCTGACCGATGGAAAGTGCAGGTTGGATGGGGCTTGGAGCAGCCTGCTCTAGTGGGAGGTGACCCTGCTCGTGGCACGGGTTTGGAGCCGGAATAGCTTTACAGTCTCTCCCAGCACCATGTGCAATCGTACACAGGCTTTTATAGTGATTTCCTCTTTCTCCTGACACACTCTTTCACCTCTAAATGCTTTTCCTGGGTCTTTAGCCTGTTCATGGGGTCTTCAATAGATATATGCAACCCCCAGTGTTCAAACCTTTTTGATCATCTCTTTTGGGGGAATATATACAATCTTTGGACCTGCCTCATCTCAGCAATGGGGAGCACCCTGAATGTCCTGTACAGGAAAGCTTCTGGTACTCACCCAGGAAACCTTTTTTGCTCAGTGAGGAGAGGAAACTTCCTGAGGGTGCTCTCCACCAGGGTGATCTCCAAACCTGCCTTCTCAGCAGCAGCATGGGGAGCACACAGCACAAGCAGCTCCCTGGGAAGCCCAGAGCATCATCAGAAGCCCAGGTGCCTGCAGTAGGGCAGGAATGACCTGCTGCTTGTTGGCAAGAGAGAAGCACAGGAGAATGATGGGCTGGAAGATGCTGCCCCTCACTTACATCTCAGCTCTGTCTCTGCTGCCCTCCTCATGCTCTCGGAGATGGATGTGAAGATGAATGTGCCTGGAGCTGTGCAGGGAGCCTGGGAATGAACCAGCATCAGCAAACCCCCTTCCTATTTCAAGTGATGTGGGGATGTGGGACTGTGAATCTCTTTGGCCCCAGGAGGTGACAAAGCCCAAAGCAGGTCATTATCTCTTCTCTGTGCTGCTTGGTTTGGAGGAGGAGAAGTGTACCCAGAGGAGATGACCTCAGCTTGAGCAAGCAACAGGGCTTTGGGTTCCCTTAGAGCAAAGCACAGAACAAGCCCACCTTTGACATCCACTTTTGGAGCATTTCTGAGGCAGTTACAGCTTCACAACGGCCATGGTTGACATTATTGTGGCAGGGAGCTGTGGGGGTGCCTTGCCAGTGGGAACTGATCCAGTACTGGTTCCAGTATCCATCAGCAATGTCAGGCACCAGGTACAATGAACCAGCTTTCCACCCATCTTCAGTTCCTTTTACTCAAACCATAGCTCACAAGTTTGGTTGCAAAGTAGCCAACAGAAGATCGTGGTGACCTTGCTAATGGTGAGGTAAATGCTGTCCTCTACTTCTTGTCCATGCAAACCTCAATGCTCACATCACCCAAGGCACTCACGTTGGTCAGGCGTGACTTGGCCTTGGTACATCCATGCTGGTTCCTCATGGTCACCCTCCTGTCCTTCATCTGCCTGGAGAGGCTTTCTGGGGAACCTCTTAGATTTTGTTCTTAACCTCTGGAGTCTGAGGCAGGCCCAGTCCTTGTGCTCTCCTTGATGATGACATTGACCTTCTTCAGCCCATTGTGCTGGAAACAAAAGAGAAAAAGGAGAGCCTGAGGCAGAGATGCCTGAAAGTGGGAAGAAGAGGAAGGGGAGGATTAGATGAGGAGTGTGATAAAGGACTGTAATGGGCAGCAAGAGGGTGAGGGGCTCCAGGGAGACTTTACTGTGGCCTTTCTTTACTTTAATAGGGGAGTGGGAGAAAGCAGAAGGGGAGCTTTGGACAAGGGCCTGTAGGGACAGGCCAAGGGGAATGGCTTGAACCTGCCCGAGGGGAGACTGAGCTGAGCTCTGAGGCAGAAGCTCTTCCCTGGGAGGGTGCTGAGGCGCTGGCACAGGGTGCCCAGAGAAGCTGTGGCTGCCCCATCCCTGGCAGTGCTCAAGGCCAGGTTGGACACAGGGGCTTGGAGCAAGCTGCTCCAGTGGAAGGGGTCCCTGCCTGTGGCAGAAGTTGGAGCCAGATGAGTTTTAAGGTTCTTTCTGACCCAAACCACTCGGGGATTCTATGAAATAAACTAATAACTCCATAAACTAGAATTTCTTGAAGTAAGTGGACAAGGAAGTGTTTCACGAATCCATACACCAAGACCACAGTATGGTGGGTAATACGTGTCACAACACTTGGACCTACTGGACAGATATCAGTGAAAAGAATTTTGTTTAGGTACTACTGCAGTTCTCCTGTTGATTTGAGTTCAGGTGCTTGCTGTTTCCTTGCTCTTCTCATCACTGCTCATAGCAAAATGAAAGAAAAACCCAGTGAAATGATAAAAACTTGGTGTGGGGACAGTTACTGTCTTAGTGAAGTCAGCAAAGGCAAAATCAACATTTGGGGTGGGTTTTACAGGAAGATGTTAACAAGGGGCAACTGTGAGAGTAGGAATGGTTGCAGGAACTCTCTTTGCATTGTTGAAATCCTGTTTAAGTAGCATTAGGAAAGCCAGTTGATAAAGTCATGAGAATAATCAGGGATGAATCATGTAGACATTCACTTGTCACCCACTCCCTCCCCTCAATGTGGGAGAAGGGGGAAGGCATCTCCTTAAAGCCACATAGTTACTGCCGTTGTTAATGGGCTTTATTAGTGCACCTGGACATGAAGAGATTGATGCTTCTGGTGGATTTTGCTTGTTGTCAAGCAAAGGGTGTGAAATCACCTCTGAAAGGCATTGTGGTGCTTGGGCATCTGAGAGACATGGTGTGGATGAGCCATGCCTGAGCACAGCTGCATTGCAGCAGTGATGAGCAGCTCATAGGATGCTTCTGACATACTTGTGGACTATGCAAAGAATTTAGTCTGACCTTGGCAAGAGAATGAGAATGGATTTTAGAGAGGTTTCAGATCTTGAAAGGGTCCCCAAATGGGACATGAAGCACAAGTGACTCCATCTCTGGATTTGCTGCAGTCCCTCTGTGCACACTTGAGAGCCCAGTTTTCCATCCCCACTTGTGTTATCCACATGCAGTGCCTGGATGTCCAACAGCTGAGCTGGTGCCTCTGGGCTTCCACTGTATTCAAGGGTGAGAAATGGGCATTTTTAGGCAGGGATGAATTGTCCCAGGGTGAACTAATAGGCCTTTATCCCCCTGACCAGCCTCAGCTGTGGCTTCATCCCACCCTCTGCCCATTTGTCCCCCATCTCTATTTAAGTTCAGGCCAGGGAGCTTGTGCTTTATTAGAGCAGTTCTGGTTTCCAGTTTAGTAGGTGTACGGCACATCTAAGGAATCCTTTGATGGTGACCTAGGCTTCATTGTGGATCTGTTTAGCTTGTTGGAACTTGTCCCCAGTCTCTGTTCCTGCCCTGCTTCTCTTGCTCGGGTACTGTGGGTTGGTCCCTACACACTGCGATGTTCTCCTTTGTCTCTGTTGAAAGATATTAAGGAAACAAAGCCCTGTGGCAGTCCTCAGGCTCCTGCAGAGTAGAACCCATCACCTTCTGCATGCAACAGCCCAGCCAGTGCTCACTGCCGTGGTATTCCCTCTCCATCTATACCACATCCCTGCGTGGGTAAAAAAGGAGTTACTCTTCTCAGTGACAGAAATAGAGTAGTAAGGGGAACTTTATTTCCTGGTATTTTATTCTGGTCATTAGTTAATTCTGTTTTACCAAGTATAATATTGGGCTTCTATGGCAGGACCTCTGTTATTTACCTGATATGGGAATTTTGTGTCTACAGCCAGGGCATTCTGAATTTTGTAGATCCCTTCTCTGCAAAGATTGAAGCAGAATCATGCAATGATGCTTTTGTCATCAAACGTATTTTCAGAACCCCAAGCCTGTTTCTTGTTGCTGGAATTGACAGCTGTTCTTCCCCTGTACGTTCGACTGAGGTTCCTCTTGGGAGTTCCCCGAGTTGGATCCACCACACGCAAGACTATAGCAATCCAGACCTCCCTTAGCAATGTAGCACCAAGTCTAGGTAAACCTTTATGTATTGCAGCTGTCTCTGCTTTGGAATCTTTCTTAAACCAAAGAGGGGCTAAGAACACCAGAGTGGGGTAATTCATCAAGCAGGGATGAGCCCTCCATGTGACACTTCTCATCCAGGCTCCCTTTCCCATTAAAGCTTGGAGCAGATGATCTCTTGAGGTGAAACTTGGGTTTTCTGTGGCTCTATGATTCTATTTGTATATATTCTACATGTCTCAGCTACAATATGCAAGAAAGAAGCAAAGAACCAAGGTGTGGTGAAGGTTTTCAAGAAGCTCTCTGATATCAAAGTCTCTGTCCTGCCAAGCTCATCAGCAAGTAAGTACATCGATTCTGGCTCCCTCACTGACCACAGACAGAAGCCACTTTTCCACACACCTCTCTCTGCTGTTTTCCAGAGCACACAAAAGACATTGTTCATGACCCACGTGCTTCCCAAATAGAAGTTAATTCTCCCTCACAAGAGGTAAAGGAAAAACATTTTCCCACACCAGTGTTTTTTTGCTTCTTTCTGACCCAGACAGCTCTCAGTTACCATTGATTCTGGGTTCAGGATTGTCTTTCACTAATGGAAACTTGCCTCATGCTGTATTTATAAGTGCAAGCCACCACTTGGTGTTTCCTGGTGTGCTTTAGTGTGAGCTGGGCATGGACATGGGATGTGGGTGCTTATCTCCAGCTGGAATTCCATTTATCTCACCATTTAAGTAAAGGACACTTTAAAAGAGTGTAAAACACCACTTCAAATGAATAGGAGGACCGCTTGATATGCCCAGTTTGTCCTTAACACTGGGTAGTCTCAGCACAGTTCATCAATCTGCATTAGGAGTTATATTTTCTACTTTTCCTTAATTGAAGTGAAATCTAGTCTGAAGCTGAAGCCTGGGGAGGGATTCCCCTTGATATTCAAAGGTGCAGCTTGAGATCTTCATTCCCACCAGCTTCTTCTCTTTGAAAGGCACAAACAAATGCAATAAATCTTTTAAAACCTTTTCTGTGACTCTTTTTCAACAAGCAGATGTAAAACTACACTTCCTCTTCCCTGCCACCCCAGCAGCTTTAATAAAGAGCTCACAGGTAAGAGTGAGGAATTTTATTGGAGCTGAGGGACAAGGTCAAGAATCTGGCAAGAAAAATAGATATTTATCAGTGACAAAAGTTGTAATGGGATAAAGCTGATTGGTGTTTCCTGTGAGGAAAAGAGGCCTGGGATAATTGAGGGTAAACTCTTCCCCCAGGCTGGTGACTGCAAAGTGAAATGAAGTTTGAGGTTCCTCTCCTCTTGGTTTCCTTCCAAGGAAGATGTGATTTGGGGTGTGTATTTCTCATTCAATACTGTCATTGACTCATGTGCAGGAGTTGTGGATGAACCTATATAAAATGATGAGTATTAGTGGAAAATCCCATTTTTTTCATGCTCCAAAGGCTTTCTCACTTTAGATGAACTGTGTGTCCTAGATGATACAACTCTTTTATGTTACCATCTGCTGAGCAATCTCCTCCCACAGTTGACCAGAGCTGCCTTCACCTCCCTGTTCCTCAGGCTATAAATGAATGGGTTGAGCATGGGGGTGAGCAAAGCATAGAAGATGGAGGCCACCTTATCCAGGCTCCTGTGGCTTGATGGAGGTTGTAGGTACATGAAGAATGCTGTCCCAAAGTACATGGAAACAGCCGCCAAATGGGAGGTGCAGGTACGAAAGGCTCTGGCCCTGCTCTCTGCTGAGCACGTCCTCAGCACAGTGCGGATGATAGAGATGTAGGAGAGCAAAATGAGCACGCTCGTGCCCACCACATTGATAGTGAGAAAGGCAAAGATGACCATCTCACTGCTGTAGTTATTAGGGCAGAGGAGTTTAAGCACAGGTACGATGTCACAGAGGAAGTGGTCAATGTGTTTGGGTCCACAGAAGGAACCTCCAAACAGGCACCATGTGCAGATGGTAGCAGTGAGGAAGGCGAATAGGTAGGATGATGCTACCAGCTGCCAGCAGACACGTCTGGAGATGATGGTCACATAAAGCAGGGGCTGGCAGATGGCAACGTGCCGGTCGTAGGCCATCATGGCCAGGAGGTGACACTCGGCACTGCCAAAGAAAATAAAAGTGAGGAACTGCATCATGCAGCCAGAGAAAGAAATGGTTCTGTCCTCTGATAACAGGTCTGCCAGCATCCTGGGGGAGATGACTGTGGAACAGCAGATGTCAGTGAAGGCAAAATGGGTGAGGAAGAAGTACATGGGGGTGTGGAGGCTGGGAGACACCAGCACCAATGTGACAATGCCAACGTTCCCCACCAGAGTGACAATGTAAATCACTAGAAACAAGACAAAAAGAGGAGTCTGCAGACATGGGCTGTCTGTAATTCCCAACAGGATAAATGTAGTCTGCGTGTGATTTCCTGCCATGACCAGGTGTTCCCTGCTGAGGCAAAAGGAAAAGAAACATCAAACTGATCAAAAATGGACATTCAGATTTGGACCATATCTAACTCCAATCAGTGACCATTTTAACTGCCATAGAATAACTGCAAATAGAATTTTCCAATGTATTTTCTAACCAAAATTATATCTATTTTGTGTTTTTCAGGTAAGGTGTTTAGAAAAGAACAGGGAGCTTCTTGAAGCAAAAAAGGGCATTTTTGTTTTTCTGTGCTGGAATAGTTAAAACTCTGGAGTTACTCAAGCACACGTGTTTTCAGGTTTGAGCAAAGATTCAGATCTATATCCACCTTCATTTTGAATGCATAGGATTGCATGTAATCGTGGAGCAAGAGAAATTCTCAGTCGCAGTGAAAGCCCAGCTTCCACATGCATGAACTCCAGACATTTTCCCTTGGCTTTTATCATTCCAGTCACCAAATCACATTTACTAAACTATTTGAGATCGTTTACATTAAATAACATGGACATTGGTAAATTCATGAATTATTCCCTTCTGAGTTACAACAGGCATTAAGTTTCTTGCTTTAAAAAGGTATTTAGGTTCTAACAGGCTGATTCCAAAGGCTCATTTGTTAGTGATTATGTTCTGCTGACAACCTGAACTGTTGCATTTCTGTATAACAGAATAAGAGTCATCCTCATTTAATTCTTGAATAAATCAGTGCATCTTGCTTTAGCTGCCTATGCAAAAGAAACACAACCTGCACCAACCTTACTCCCTCTTATAAAGAAAACACACACTGGTAAGGCTGTTTTCTGACACACCTTTACCAAAGAAGACACTAGAACATGCAGACACAAGCCCACTGCCTCAATGCAGGTGAGGCTCTGCTTTGTGTTGGTGTTACCTCCTGTGCCTTCCCTCTGCCACCGAGTGATGGGAGCCAAGGATTTATCCCCAACGCAGCAGAGAACGTCTATGTGCCGGCATCAGCTCTGTTAAGCACCTGATGTGAAGAGAGGTGAACTCCTGCAGACTCCAAGAGCCCAGCTTGTGGTGCTGGGGCTGTAAATACAGTTGCATGTGCTCTCCTGGGAGGAAGCCTCCAGGGCTGCTCATGATTTACCACAGGAAAACAAAGAGAAGGAAAAGCAAAGGGTGTGAAATCACCTCTGAAAGGCATTGTGGTGCTTGGGCATCTGAGAGACATGGTGTGGGTGAGCCAAGCCTGAGCACAGCTGCACAGCAGCAGTGATGAGCAGCTCATAGGATGCTTCTGACATACTTGTGGACCATGCAAATGTTTTGGTCTGAACATCCTGACACAAGGAAAATGGGTTTGGAGACATTCCAGATCTTGCACACGGTCCTCAAATGGGACATGAAGCACAAGTGACTCCATCTCTGGAGCTGCTGATGTCCCTCTGTGGAGGGTGAACCCAGTTTTCCAGCCCCAGTGGGGTTCCCCACATGTAGTGTCTGGATGTCCAACAGCTGAGCTGGTGCCTCAGGACTTCCACTGAATTCAAGGATGAAAAACTGGCATTTTGAGGCAGGGAGGAATTGTCCCAGGCTGAACTACTAGGCCTTTATCCCCCTGAGCAGCCTCAGCTGGGGCTCCATCCCCACCCTCTTCCTGTTGTTCCCCCATCTCTATTTAAGCTTAGAACAGGCAGATTGAGCTTTACTAGAGGAGTTCTGGTTTCCAGTTTAGTAGGAGCTCAGCACACCTATGCAATCTTTTGGTGGTCACCTAGGGTTTCTCATCTATCTTCCTCGCAATTTTTTCACCTGATCCTGCACAAGGGACTGACTCAACCTGACTTGGTTTGGTCTTGAATCTGCCTCCTCATCACCAGCTTTCCTGATGCTCTGGAGCTGTGGTTGAACTTGGCCCAGGTCTGTGTTCCTGCCCTGCTTGTCTTGCTCAGGTACCGTGGGATGGTCCCTGCACACCAGGGTGTTCTCCTTTGGTTCTTCAGCAGATTGGCAACACTTTGGTTTGGAAGTATCTTTGGCACGATGTTCATCTGCTGGTTTTGTGACAGAGGACACCAGAGCTTCACTGACACCAGGGACTTTGGTTTCCCCAACCTCTTCCTTAGGCTTGCAGGCTTGGTTTGGAACCATTTCTAGGTCTTGCTTTCTTCCTACGACTGGTTTGTGCAACAAGACCACAGATAATCTGATTTATCTACACTCTTTTATTGCCCTTAGTGGTTACTTTTTTCCCCTGTGTCTTGGTCTTTTCTGATCTACACAACATTATTACCTGGCTCCTTGCTAGCCCTGTCAAAAATATCTTCCAAAACTGTCAGCATCTCCAGGTGATAGCTTAAAACCTGCATTGTGACATCTTTTAAACTGCAAACTCCAGCACCTCACTGCACACCATGGGGCAGGATGAAGGATGCTGGGGCTCTGCAGGAAACAAGGGACATTCTCCTATGGATGCTGATGGCTTCTGCCCCTGGTGATGGAGGCACTGGGCAAGGGCTGAAATCCCTCCCTGCTCTGCATGGAGCTGGATCCAAACTGGGACTCAGCTTTCACTTCTTTGGGATCAGTGCCTAAATCCTTCTTACGTCCATCATAGAGGAGAGGAGAGCCTCTGCCCTCCATGTGCTGCAGGGTGGCCACGAGGGCTGTGTGAGCAGTGAGAGGATTTGGGACCAGGACTGATGCAAAGCAAGGAGGATCATATCCGTGCACATCTCCCCTGTATCCATCACATCTCTACACATCCATACACATATCCCATCCCCATGCTGCTGCTGAGAAGGCAGGTTTGGAGATCACCCTGGTGGAGAGCACCCTCAGGAGGCTTCCTCACCTCTGAGCACAAAGGTTTCCTGGGTGAGTACCAGAAGCTTTCCTGTACGGGACATTCAGGGTGCTCCCCATTGCTGAGATGAGGCAGCTCCAAAAGATGACTTTTTTCCCCCAAAACATGTGTGCAAAAAGAGTTTGCTGAGCTCTGGGGATTGCCCATTTCTATTGGAGACTCAAGGAACAGGTTAAAGAACCAGGAAAAGGTTTTCGATCTGACAGAGTGCATCAGGAGGGAGGGAAAAATGATACTAACCCCTGTGTAAGGTTGCATAGGATCATAGTATGGTTTGTGTTTTAAGAGACCTTAAATCTCACTCAGTTCCAACCCCTTGTGATGGCCAGGGACACCTTCTACTAGAGCAGGTTGCCCTGTCCAACCTGCACTTTCCATAGGTCAGGAATTCGTTCCAGTTAGGAAGAAACCCAAGGAAAGCGGGAAGAAGCGGGTGGTTGGCCAATGCCCATGAGAGGATGAAGGATCAACTGTGCACTGTGAAAGCACCACGTTTCTCTGGGTTCCAGGTGGAGCCGGATGGTCTCCAAGCCCCTGCCTCAGCAGTAACGCAGCCAATGAAGTGCAGCACTAATGTAAAGCTACTCAGGTGAGTGGAACCTGCCCACTGCTTTCCACAGAGGTCATTGCTCAACATCTCAAGGTGAGCCAGAGGAGCAGGCACCACGCTGTGCCATGGTGTTTAACTGCTTGAGCACCCCTTTGTTCTACCTGGGCTGGCACAGGACTTTCACCAACCCGTTCCTCATTGAGCTCTGCCTGAACTCTCCCTTTCCATCCTGCAGGACTGTCTCTGAGCAGCTCCCACCACACAGAGGCTTTTCCACCTGGGACATCCCTGCCTCTTGGAGAAGAAACCTCCAGCCAGGAGCTCACCCACAAAGCACCATCCAGCCCATGGCACAAAGCAATTGCACCCAAGTGACTGAGTTCAGCCTGGCAGGCTTCACAGAGGACCCGGTGACTCAGCTCAACTTGTTCCTGCTCTTCCTGTTCACCTACCTTGTCACCATCGTGGGCAACCTGGGCATCATCATCTTAATCAGGGCCAGCCCCCACCTCCACTCCCCCATGTATTATTTCCTGGGCAACCTGGCCTTTGTAGACCTCTGTTTCTCCAGCATCATCAGCCCCAAGATGTTGGTTGACTTGATGTCAGAGAAGAAGAGCATTGCTTATGCTGGCTGTGTGGCTTAGGTCTTCATCTATGATATCTTTGGGATGACTGAGTACTTCCTGCTGGCTTCGATGGCCTATGACCGTTACGTGGCCATTTGCCATCCCCTGCTGTACCCCCTTGTCATGTCCCCAAAGTGCTGTTTCCAGATGGTGACTGGCTCGTACCTTGTGGGGCTGACCAATGGCTTGGGACAGACCATCAGCATTTCCAAGGAACCCCTGTCCCCTGATCCACACCTTTGCTTTCTATTCCCCTGTTGGCAGCAATAGAAGCCATAATCTCCATGGCAGCCTGACCACAACAGAGCACAGTGGCTGTGGTGCTGCTCATCAGCCTTCAGACCTCCTACGTGGCAGCCCACGGCAGCCTGGAGCAATGGCATTGCCGCCCTGATGTCTCTCCTGTTGCTTTCCTTCACAGAGAGCTGATGGGTGATGGACACACATTGCATACATAAACCACCCCAAAATACTCCACTGTGTGCATTACCTCAGCCCATAGAGCTGCATCCTCTGCCAGGACCATGGTGAAACCTGGAGCCATGGCTGAGCTTTAGGGCTATCCTAGACACACATAATAACCTAGGCTGGAGGGAGAAGCTCCATGGCTGGATTCAGTTAAATCAGGATCAATGTGGTTTGGTGATTCCTTAACAACACACAACTCACAGGCACCCAGGGTCAATCAGCTGAATCCTGCTTTGTTCCCAAAGCTTCCTGATAATTCCCTGGTTATTATTTAACCCAGATGACTGCTATTGTCCTGTTGAGCCTTGGGGACAAGCAGGGACAGAGGTTTCACACCCTCCCTGGCCCCTATGTCAGTGTTTGATTGCTTTTACAGTGGGGTTTTCCCCCTCCCTCTGTTTCTAACTGGAATTTCCCATGCTGCAAATTCACAATAGGAATTCTGAGATCTACCCTCATCTGCAAGATAAAGCACATGGAGAACTTGGCAGGAGGCATCAAGCCAAAAAGAATGGGACACCATTAATTCTTGCATGCATCCTTTCTCTGTCCCTGACATCATTGAATCATGGAATGGTTTGGCTTGGAAGGGACCTTAAAGCTCCTCCAGCTCCAACCCCAACCCCTTCCACTGGAGCAGCTTGCTCCAAGCCCCTGTGTCCAGCCTGGCCTTGACCACTGCCAGGGATGGGGCAGCCACAGCTTCTCTGGGCACCCTGTGCCACAGTGAAGAGCTTCTGCCTAAGAGCTCAGCTCAGTCTCCCCTCTGGCAGGTTCAAGCCATTCCCCTTGGCCTGCCCCTACAGGCCCTGATGAAGAGTCCCTCTCTTATTCTCTCTGAATAAGTTGCTTCACATGTTGTGTTCTCTTTTCTTGAGGGACTTGTCCAAATGTCTCTATTTTTCATGAAAACTCCATCAGAAACTTTGATTAAAAGCTTAGAAAGTGAGCATTTCTCTTCACACCAACTTAAATTAGATTTTGACTGGTTGCCATTGCATTCATTCATTATTCATCACAGTTCTTTGCAGAAGACCACGGTTTCCAAAGGTGCTTATTTTAAACCACAAATTTATTCAGTTTGTCATTGTACAAGTACATGTTCTTCCAGCAATTGTACAGTTCATTAAACAGAAATGGTGTGTTTGGATTAAATGTTAAAAACCCTCCATCTACTGTTTCATTTAGAGCATCTTCCCCCTCAATAATGTGATGACATACAGAAGGGGATGTGACATGGTCAAATCCACAAAGCACAGACCTGGTACTGAGCATCCAGAAAGGAAAAGATGTAAGGACCACACATCCCAGGAAGATTTTAGTTGGGACACACTTCTGGCCACATGCTAACCTATGTGTGCCTATCACAAGTCCTTAGCACTGCTCCAGCTCACTTACACAGGATAAATGTATTGGATGCTCACATCAGGTATCACAGAGTCCCAGCCTGGTTTGTGTTGGAAGGGACATTAAAGCTCATCCAGTCCAACCCCTGCCATGGGCAGGGACCCCTTCCACTGGAGCAGCTTGCTCCAAGCCCCTGTGTCCAACCTGGCCTTGAACACTGCCAGGGGTGGGGCAGCCACAGCTTCTCTGGGCACCCTGTGCCAGTGCCTCAGCAGCCTCCCAGGGAAGAGCTTCTGCCTAAGAGCTCATCTCAGTCTCCCCTCGGGCAGGTTAAAGCCATTCTCCTTGGCCTGTCCCTACAGGCCCTTGTCCAAAGCCCTCCTGCAGGTTTTTTGTACGCCTCTTCAGACACTGGAAGCTGCTCTGAGGTCTCCACACAGCTTCTCTTCTCCAGGCTGCACAGACCCAATGTTCTCAGCTTGGCTCCATACAGGAGCTGCTCCAGCCCCTGAGCATCCTTCTTGCATCTCTGGACTTGCTTCAGCAGCTCCACGTCCACTTTGTGCTGAGGACACCAGAGCTGTATCAAATCCTTTTGACCTTCCTCCAGTTCGTCATTGAGGAAATGCTTATAAAGCAGGCAATGGAGACAGTGGTCAGTGCCTTATGTGAAGTCTGAGCCTCCTTTTTGTGGGCACTAATTTCATTTAGCAATATTTAAACACAAAACACCATGGTGCTGTCTCAGTCCTGCTATTAAATACCTGATACTTATTTGGATGAATTACTGAAGGCTCAGGCCTTGCTTAAAACAACCTGAAGCTTTTTGAAGAGAACCATTCGTTGTGCTGGTTCTCCATACCCTGCACTTGCTATAATGACCAATAATGGCCAGTAATGCTCAATTCCATAATCACATATTCCACATATTCCTTCCTTACCTCCACAGTACTGTAGGGCTCCAAATGTGCTTTCAAACCCTGCATAGATGTGGCAGCAGCTTTCGCTCCCACAGCCTCCTCAGAGCCCCCTTCACCTCCTTGTTCCTCAGGCTGTAGATGAGG